CTCTGGAATGGCAGGTTGCCTCGGCAACGGCGGGATGCCTCAGCAATGGCAGGCTGCCTCAGCGATGGTCAGACTGCCTCCATAGTGGTGGAGTGTCTCAGTAACGGCGGACACCCCTCCCCCACAGAGCCGGACCATCCCGGGTTCAGCTGTGCTTGCTGTGAAGCTCTCAACCCAGAGAGTTTTCAATTACTGGTTTTGTGTGTGTGTGTGTTGTGGGGGGGCAGCGTGGGACCAGTCAAGCCTGATCACCTGGCTCCCTGACTCAGAGTCTTTTGTTGTTGTTGTTGTTGTTGAATGGTCCACTCTCCCAGTGTTCCAGTCGCCTGTTGAAAAGGCTCTGGGATATCCCGTGCCGTGACTCACTGAGCCAGTTGAAACAGCGGCGCTGAGATTCCTGGCGTTTTTTTTTTTTTTTTTTTGCCTGGGAATCTCCTGGCCTGGCTTGCTATTTCAGATGAATGGGCGACTCTGCCATCTCAGGGCTCCAATCACCAGCTAAGAGGGCACCCAGACCAGTGTCTTTTGTACGGAGAACCGCTGCGCCAGGGCGTGGGCAAAGCAGCTGCGGGGGCTGAAACAGCTGCGCTGGCCGAAACAGCCACGGCTGGCCACCCATGGGGCTCCTCTGCCTGGGAATCTCCTGGTCTGTGGGCAATAAAAGTCCACCTGGAAATGCGGTGTCGACTCACCCTCTGCACTTTCACTGGAAGCTGCAATCCTGAGCTGTTCCTAGTCGGCCATCTTCTCCAAAGATTCTTTCATCTATGTCTATTAAAAAGATTAACCTAAAATTATTGGGAATTTTTGGTGAAATACTTATGAACCTTTGGTATAAAAAATAAACAGGCCAGGCACGGTGGCTCATTCCTGTAATTCCAACACTTTGGGAGGCCAAAGCAGGTGGATCACCCAGGATAAGGAGTTTGAGACCAGCCTATGGTTAAACCCTGTCTCTACTAAAAATACAAAAATTAGCAGGACATGGTGGTGCATGCCTGCAATCCCAGCTACTTAGGAGGCTGAGGCACAGGTATCACTTGAACCCAGGAGACAGGTTGCAATGAGCAGAGATCACGCCACTGCACTGCAGCTTGTGTAATAGAGAAAGACTCTGTCTCAAATAAATAAATAAATAATATTTTAAAAATAAAAAATTAAGAAGTGCTTCCCATTTTTTTATTTGCTCAAAGATTTTGTGTATTTACCAACAGATTTTCTTAAACGTTTGGTGTTATTGCTTCTTAAATATTTGGTGGAATTCATATGTGAAGTTAATTGTACATGGAGATTATACTTTGGGGAGGTTTTTAATTATTGTTCATATTTCTAACTTAGAATTATTTGGTATCTTAACAATTTGGGGTGAGGAGTTGTTAGCTGAGTTTTTACAGGACCATTTCATTCCTTCTAAATTTTCCGGTGTATTGGAATACATTTATTCATAATACCTTATGGTATTTTTAACATTTGTAGAATTAATAATGAAGTCTCCATTTTCATATATCTAATTTTTCCAACTTTATTTTTTTACCCAGTCTTTCAAGAGGTTTACCAATCTTATTAGTCTTTTCAAAAAATAAGCTTTCAACTTTGTTGATTTTTATTGTGTGTTTGTTTTTTAATTTTCTATTTTTTTTTCTACATTCTACATTTGGGGGATTAATTTTCTAACATCACAAGATGAATCCTTAGATTATTTGTCACTCTCTATTCTTTTCATGACTAAACTGTATCTCGGTGTGGTTGGAGGGATTGGTATTTTTTCTGTTTAGATGCTCTAAGCTTCTAATATCTGTGATTTGATATCTCATTACTTTTGGAAAGTTCTCATTCTTGGGAAGACAAAGCTTCCGGGAAAAGTTAGGACAATTTGGAAGATAGAATTGTCCCTCGGAGACTTGAGATGTAGAAAGAAGGAAATGAACAGCACTAAGTTTAGAGTCCTGCAGAATCAAAAGCCTATCAGGAAATCAGAAAACTGTATCCATACTACCACCACCACCCCACCCCACTCACTCCCCAGCAAAAAGACATTTACATGTAAAGAAACTATATTTCACTCTACCAACAGAAATAGCTTTCATAAACCAAGTAACCATGTAATCATCCCAAACCATTATCACCATTCCATAGAATTACTATTTTTGATGATCCATGAAAATTCACAGTTCACACAGAAATCATTTTCTTTCTATTCTGTGTTTAGGTTGTTTAATTATGAATACACGTTCAATCTTATCAGATGTTTTTTCCTGCTTCTATTGAACTTTTCTTCTGTGTTTTCTTGAATTACATATTTATTCTATTGAACTATATGATGAATTATACAGACTGAATTGGTAATGGTATGTGATAACAAACCAAATAATAAATTAAAGCAAGCAGCATTATGATATATGAAATTGTATATACTGTGGGTTAAGTTCCCAGAAAGAGGTAGGCAACCTTTATACAAAGCTAGTATGAGAGGAGGAGGAAAAATAGAAATAAAAACTGTACATGACAAAATAACCTCTAAAAAAAACACAAAGGCAACATACTTACAAACACACCTGTGGTGGGGGGCAGAAAATGTGCGAAAAATGTTAACAATGTTGGTACTATACAGAGGGAATGGTGTTTATTACTATTATTTCAATTTCACTTTATGTTTGAGAATTTTAGAAATAATATTAGGAGAAAAACAAATTTCAGAAGATTATATGCAGAGTATGATAGTTTTTATAAAGCTCAAATTTAAAAATTAAAATATTGTTAATGCACACATGTAATGATAAATTTGTATGTAAATAACACAGGAAATCAGAACATAATTCATCATAGCAGTTACCTGTGGGGGATAGAAAAATGAAGGAGCACATAAGTGTTATGTTTACATTATTCATCAACTTTTCGTTTTGAGGCTTGGCTTATAGATGCCATTATGATATAATTAAAATTTATACATAAGGCCAAGCATGGTGCTCATGCCTGTAATCCTAGCACTTTGGGAGGCTGAGGCAGGCAGATCACTTGAGGTCAGGAATTTGAGACCACCCTGACCAAAGTGGCAAAGCCTTGTTGCTACTAAAAAAATACAAAAATAAGCCGTGTGGTTGTGCGCACCTGTAGTCCCAGCTGCTCAGGAGGCTGAAGCAGGAGAATTGCTTTAACCCAGGAGGTGGAGGTTGCAGTGAGCCAAGATCTTGCCACTGCACTCCAGCCTGGTAGGTATAATGGTCTATCCAGAAATCTGAAAGAATCCCCTAATAAACTATTAGATTTTATAATAATTAATGTGACTGCTGAATTCAGAATAAATACAAACATAAAATTCAATTGCATTTCTATACATTAATGACAAAGATTTCTAAAATGTGATTCTGAAAACCAGAGAGTTCAATAGCCAAAATGAACAGTTTGAGCAACAAAATAAAGCAGTATTGGATTATAACCCAAAATATAAAAAATAACATCTGTGAGTCTATTCTGATATATTAAAATAATTCTGATATTTAGTTTGACATTTATTTAAATGATGTTCAACTATATTCAAATTTGAATATATAATTTCCAGTTACATAGGGGGGAAAAGGAAAAACTTCATAGCAGAGAAAGCTGACAACCACCTGAATCAAGTAATCAAGAGCAACATCAGCAGTAAATAGTTCATTTTGATGATATGGAGTGCTCCTTTTAGACGTGATAAAGATTGAACTTTATCTCTGCAATATTCCTCCCAAAAACCCATAACCTCATTCTAATCATGAAAAAAAAAAAAACCTTATATAGACCCCAATTGAGGATCTTCCAGTTTGTATTCTACAAAATACCTGACCAGTGCTCATCAAAAATGTCAATGTCATTAAGAAAAATCCAAGAAGCTATCACAGCCAAAAGGAACCTAAAAGACATGGTTCTTAAATGTACTGTAGTATCTGGATTGGAGCATGGAACAGAAAAGGAACATTATATTTTAAAAACTAGGAAATCTGAATAAATTAGACACATTAGTTATTAATGTATTAACATTTATTGTAGCATGTATCATACTAGCGTATGTTATTAGTAAGAGACACGGTACAGGTTATATGGAGCTCTCTGTATACTCTTTGCAATTTTTCTATAAATCTAAAACTATTATAAATCTAAAACTGTTCTAAAATATCCTTTTTTTAAAAAAAAAAATGAGAGTTTATAATTTTCTTCTAACAGGAATTTCTTTTTTTTTTTTTTTTTTTTTTTCTGAAATTTTTTTTTTTTTTTTTTTTTTTTTGAGACAGAGTCTTGCTCTGTCGCCTAATCTGTAGTGCAATGACATAATCTCAGCTCACTGCAGCCTCCATCTCCCAGGTTCAAGCGATCCTTCTGCCTCAACCTCCCAAGTAGCTGGGATTACAGGTGTCCGCCACCATACCCAGCTAATTTTTGTATTTTTAGTAGGGAGACGAGGTTTCACCATGTTGGCCAGGCTAGTCTTGAACTCCTTACCTCAGGTGATCTGCCCGCCTCAGCCTCCCAAAATGCTGGGATAACAGGCGTGAACCACTGTGCCCAGCCTATAATTTTGTTGTAAGAGGAATTCTGTGCCCTTTTTTGTTATGAACATTCCAAGGAAGTTTTACAAGTGTCAGCTAATGGTCAGTTTTACACTGTTTAAAGGCGAGTGTATCCTCTTTTTAAAGCTTTGTTCTAATTAGAAAAATCTCTCTGAAAGGATTTGGGATATATTGTTCATAGCATGCAACAATTATTAGATATATAAATAAATATATTGATATACATATGCTTACTTAATTACTGTGAATTATGTTAAGGCCGGCCTTCAAAATTTATTGTTCAAATGGAATTTTTGTAGTGGGATAATTACTTCTCACACTAAATCTCTTGTCTCAATTTAGTCTAATATTTGATTTTACCCTATATTTTTTCTTTGTTGTTTTCCGAGTTCTTGTTCATGGTATCAATGTTACGCACTAAGATTAGCTTTCTTGCATTTTCTTTTTTGCCAATTTCAGATACTGAGAAGAGTATTTATTCTTTGGAAGAGTTTATGATTGGGAAGTATTTGATTGTCATGAGTACTACAGGCTTTATTTTCCTTCTCTTGATTTTCCTTTGGGAGACTACTTCATGGAGACTAAGAACATTCCTCAATCAACACATTTTCTTTCGTATCTATAAGCGATACAGGAAGGTAAATACTCAAGTGTGGAGTAATTTAAGAACATCTATGAGAAGTGAAAATTAGGTCTGTATGTATTTGTATACCATTATCTCAGCCAGCCTGGTGGCATGCTCCTGTGATCCCAGCTACTCAGGAAGCTTGGCAGTTATTTGATAAAAGAAAAATCTGTGTCTACAAGAATGTCTTTTCTTAACCTATATTGAGATAGAATTACCTACAGTAAACTGTATTCATTTTCTTGACCATTTCAAAGGTCCAGATTTTGTCTTTATTAATTTTCTCTAATGCTAGCTATTTTCTGTTTCACTGATAATCTAATTCTTTTTCATGGCTGAATAGTACTCCATTGTGTATATGTACCATATTTTATTTATCTATTCATTCACTGATGGACAGTTAGGTTGCTTTCAAATCTTGACTATTGTGAATAGCATGCCAGCTGTGAGTCTGTCACATGTGGCTTTTATTATGTTGAGGTATGTTCCTTCTATACTCATTTTTTTAGGCTTTTTATCATGACTGGATGTTAAATTTTATCAAATGCTTTTTCAGCATCAATAGAAATGATTATATAGTTTTTGTCCTTCATTATGTTGATAATGATGTAACACATTGATTGGTTTATATATCTTAATCCATCCTTGCATCCCTGAGAGAAATCTTACTTGGATGTGATGAAAGGATCTTTGTAACACATTGTTGAATTCAGTTTGATAGTATTTTATTGAGAATTTTTACATCAGTATTCAGCAGGGATATTGGTCTGTGGTCTTCTTTCTTTTGTGTATCTTTGTTTGATTTTGATTTTTGCCTTAATTTCATTGTTTACCCAAAAGTCATTCTGGAGCAGATTATTTAATTCTCATGTAATTGTAAGGTTTTGAGCAATCATCTTAGTATTGATATCTATTTTTACTGCACTACAGTCCAAGAGTGTGGTTGGTATGATTTTGGGGTTTTTTATAATGTGTGAATCACTGTTTTATAGACAGATTGTGCGGTCAGTTTTAGAGCATGTGCCATGGGCAGATAAGAAGAATGTATATTCTGTTTTCGCATGGAGAGTTCTGTGGATGTCAGTTAGGTTCATTTGGTCAAGTGTTAAGTTCAGGTCCTGAATATCTTTGTTAGTTTTTCGCCTCCATGATTTGTCTAATACTGTCAGTGAGGTATTGAAGTCTCCAACATTTATTGGGTGGTTATTTAAGCCTCTTTGTAGGTCTCCAAGAATTTGCTTTACAAATCTGGGGGCTCCTGTGTTGGGTGCATACATATTTAGGAGAGTTAGGTCTTCCTGTTGAATTAAACTCTACCATTATGTAATGCCCTTCTTTGTCTTTTTTGATCTTTGTTACTTTAAAATCTGTTTTGTGTGAAATTAGAGTAGCCTTGGTTTTTTTTCTGTTTTTCCATTTGCTTGGTAGATTTTTCTCCATCTCTTTAAGTCTACGAGTATCATTGCATGTGAGACAGATTTCTTGAGTATAGCGTACAGTTGAGTCTTGCTTCTTTATCCAACTTGCTACCCTATGCCTTTTAATTGGGGTATTTAGTTCATTTATATTCAAGGTTAATACTGATATATGCGAACTTGATCCTGTCATTGTGTCATTGGCTGCTTGTTATGTAGACTTGATTGTGAAGTAGCTTTATAGTGTCAATGGTCTTTTACTTAAGTGCGTTTTTGTGATGGTAACAGTCTTTCCTTTCCATATTTTTTATTTTATTTTTTTATTGCATTTTAGGTTTTGGGGTACATGTGAAGAACATGCAAGATTTTTGCATAGGTACACACATTGCTGCCCTCCTCCCCATCACCTATATCTGACATTTCTCCCCATGCTCTCTCTCCCCAACTCCCCACCCCCTGCTGACCCTCCCCTATTTCCCCCCACAGACCCCAGTGTGTGATGCTCCCCTCCCTGTGTCCCTGTGTTCTCATTGTTCAATACCCGCCTATGAGTGAGAACATGCGGTGTTTGATTTTCTGTTCTTGTGTCAGTTTGCTGAGAATCTGACACAAAAAAGTTCATCCATTGTCCCTACAAAGGACATGAACTCATCGTTTTTGATGGCCACATAATATTCCATGGTGTATATGTGCCACATTTTCCCTGTCCAGTCTATCATCGATGGGCATTTGGGTTGGTTCCAGGTCTTTGCTATTGTAAACTGTGCTGCAATGAACATTCGTGTGCATGTGTCCATATAGTAGAATGATTTATAATCCTATGGATATATACCCAGTAATGGGATTGCTGGGTCAAATGGAATTTCTATTGCTAGGTCCTTGAGGAATTGCCACTGTCTTCCACAATGGTTGAACTAATTTACACTCCCACCAATAGTGTAAAACTGTTCCTATTTCTCCACATCCTCTCCAGCATCTGTTGTCTCCAGATTATATAATGATCGCCATTCTAACTGGTGTGAGTTGGTACCTCAATGTAGTTTTGATTTGCATTCCTCTAATGACCAGTGATGATGAGCATTTTTTCATATGTTTGTTGGCCTCATGCATGTCTTCTTTTGTAAAGTGTCTGTTCGTTTCCTTTACCCACTTTTGAATGGGCTTATTTGTTTTTTTTTCTTGTAAATCTGTTTCAGTTCTTTGTAGATTCTGGATATCAGCCCTTTGTCAGATGGATAGACTGCAAAAATTTTTTCCCATTCTGTTGGTTGCCAATTCACTCTAATGACTATTTCTTTTGCCGTGCAGAAGCTGTGGAGTTTGATTAGGTCCCATTTGTCTATTTTGGCTTTTGTTGCCAATGCTTTGGTGTTTTGGTCATGAAATCCTTGCCTATGCCTATGTCCTGAATGGTTTTGCCTAGATTTTCTTCTAGGGTTTTTATGGTGTAAGGTCTTATGTTTAAGTCTTTAATCCATCTGGAGTTAATTTTTGTGTAAGGTGTCAGGACGGGGTCCAGTTTCTGCTTTCTGCACATGGCTAGCCAGTTTTCCCAACATCATTTATTAAACAGGGAATCCTTTCCCCATTGCTTGTTTCCTTTCCATATTAAGCACTCCCTTCAGGACCTCTTGTGAGGCCGGTCTGGTGGTAATGAATTCCCTTAGCTTTTCCTTGTCTGAAAAAGGATCTTATTTCTCCTTTGCTTATGAAACTTAGGCTGGATATAAAATTCATGATTGGAATTTCTTTTCTTTTCAAATGCTAAATATAGGCCCCCAATGTCTTCTGGTTTGTAGGGTTTCTGCTGAAAGATCCCCTGTTAGCCTAATGGGGTTTCCTTTGTACGTGATCTGTTCCTTCTCTCTAGCTGCCTTTGACATTTTTTCTTTCATTTGACCTTGAGAAATCTGATGGCTATGTGTCTTGAGGGTGGTTATCTTGCATAGTGTCTCACAAGGATTCTTTGCTTTTCCTGAATTTGGATGTTGGTGTTTCTAGTGAGGTATGGGAAATTTTCATGGATGATATCCTGAAATATACATTCCAAGTTGCATGCTTTCTCTCCCTTTTTCAGTGACACCAATGAGTCATAGATTTTGTTTCATTACATAATTCTGTTTTTCTCAGATTTGGTTCATTCTTCTTTAGTGTTTCTTCTTCATTTTGTCTGACTGAGTTATTTCAGAGAACTGGTCTTGAGCTGAGCTTCTTCCCTCAGTTTGCTTGATTCTACTGTTAATCCTTGCAGTTGTATTATAGAATTCTTGAAGTGAGTTTTTCAGCTCTGTAAGACAAGTTTGGTTCTTTCTTAAAATGTCCACTTCATCTTTCATCTCTTGTATTGTTTTATTATATTCCTTAGAGTCCTTGGATTGGGTTTTTGCTTTCTCCTAAATTTTGGTCATCTTTGTTCCTATCCATACTTTGAATTCTATTTCTGTCATTCAGCCATTTCAGCCTGGGTATGAACCATCACTGCTGGGGATCTAGTGTGGTTAGAGGTAAAAAGACACTCTGGCTCTTTGAGTTGCCCGAGTTCTTGCACTGGTTCTTCCTCATCTGTGTGAGCATGTTTCTTCAGTATTTGAAATTGCTGTCCTTTGTATTGGTTGGTTTTTTGTTTTTTTGCTTTTATCTTTTTTTTTTATGCCCTTGGAGATTTAATTGTGGTAATAAGGTGGATTCAGTTGACAACTTTGTTTCTGGAAGACTTTAGTGGGCTAAGGCTCAGCTCAGCACTCTTGGACTGCATGCTCTATCTCTGCGGGGCTGGTACTGGGTCCACAGCTTTGTTTCTCTGGCCCCTGGAAGTCAGGAATCTGCTGCACTGAAGGGGCTGAATTGGTCCCAGTTCACTGGCCAGAACACTCCGATGAGCGGCATCAGCCAAAGCACTTCGCTGGGGCAGTGGCAGCGGGATCTATGCTTGCTTGCTTGCTTGCCTGTGCCAGCAGCCTCAGCAGTACACTAAGGTGTTGAATTGGGGTATTGTCAGAAGCAAGGCTGCCACATTCCTGCCTGAGCTTGCACCATTTACAGTTGTGGCGCGGCAAGGGCGAGGTGCTGGCAGTGGAGGCTGGGGTGAGGGGTTCCAGTGTTGGTGCTCACACTCATGCTGGCAACAGTGGTGGCAGGGGTGAGGCACTGGTGAGCATAGCACTGTTGGCCTCCATGGTGCGTGTGATCCCAAAGGCAGCATTGGCAGCGCAGGGTGGATGAGGCCACCAACATCCCTGTGCACATTTACAGCAGTGGTGGTGGTGGCACCAGGGCATGGGGGTGCCGGTGTCTGTGTGCACATTCACGCTGGTGGCGGTGTCAGTGTTGGGGGTGTTGAATATCTTTTTACATACCTCTTGGCCATTCATAGGTCTTGTTTCAAGAAATGTCTTTTCAGGTCTTTTGCCATTTTAAAATCAGGTTATTTGTTTTCTTACTATTCTGTTGTTGCAATTGCTTATATATTTTGGATATTAATCCCTTATTAGATTTATGGTTTTGCAAATATATTCTCCCAATCCGTAGTTTGTCTCTTCACTCTATTAATTGTTTCTTTTACTCTGCTGAAACTTTTTAGTTTCATGCAATTTTATTT